ATTGCTCATTTCTAGAGCTATTTTACCATATCTGAGAGCTTGTGCTATATCAGGATCATTTTTTATTTCTCATGCTTTAGCCAACGCGCTCCCATGAAAAGAGTAGAGTAAAGATCTTTCTCTATATAGATTTTACACTTTTTCTCATTTTGTAGTTGGTGGAAGGGTAAGAAAGATGATTTGGGTGCATTTATGATGCTGCTGGTGGTTGTTCTTTTCTTCCTTCCATGACTAACACAGCAGATGTTTCTAATGCATCAAGAAGGTTAACGTCTTTTGCTTATAGCGGTTGGCCATAAACATCTGGCTTGCCTATATAAGAGTGCAATGGCTTGAATCCACGCCAACCAATTAAAATACCATGAATGGACTACATCGCTATCCGCGATGAGAATGCCAAGATGTTTTGTACAATGTTTTGTTTTAAGATAATTCCATATAGATAGGCGGTTTTTGTTGCACATTCTTTGGATAGAAAATATACATCTCATTACCATTTGACTCGTCAAGTCCAATAGATGGAGTTAAGAGATCATTTTTGATTATTAGATAGAAATCATTAAGATTATGACCCACGTCAATAATCGCATCAGCTTCTTTTTTGATCAACTCTTCTTTGGAGCAGTAGCTTTGCAAGCTACTTAACTTTGAAAAAAGAAATTAATTTTTGATCTGATAGCAATGACAACGTGCTCATCTACTAATTCTGAAACATGGTAATCAAGAGTCTGTTCTAAAATTTTTCCACATTTAGTATGGTGAGTATAAACTGCTTCAACATACATAAATTAGCTTCAAAAGAAATCTGTTATATTTCAGAGTAGTTTTTGTGTGCTGGCTTACATATAGTGTAATTCTGAGTTCGAGTCACTCGTTGAGAAGTATTAAGTTAAGATATATATTGCCTTTATAAGATTTGTGAATTCTTGTTATAATAGACTCCGAAATGGGGTTATGCTCTAAAAATGTGTACTATTTGTGCTACGCCAATAATGAAGATCTGAGAGTATTGCAAATTATCCTGAATTAAAAAAAAGAAATCTTGCATGGAAGAAGCAACAGCACATTTTATATCCTATCGAAACAAGGATTTAACTTATTACGAGGAAAACAATAGTAACACAGTCTGTTAATATCCTTTGTGACATCGTCTCAAATGTTTTTTTCCCATGTAACAACTTGATCGCAGATTAATTGACGAAAATTATCTAGATCATTTGGATAATGCTATGTAATCTGTCGTCTATTCCTATCAACCCGCTGGGATCAAAAACCATAATTCCTATAATCTTTTTAACTATTTTACACAACGCAGCTTGAGTTACAAAAAAAATTCATATGATTGCATGCATTATGCAGTCGTAAAAAATCAACTTTATTATATAATATAAATGATGAGGCGATTGTTTCTAGATCTCTGTAGAAAGGCAATCCTGTCGAATAAAGAGATATATAGCTTTCTACAACGACCTACCATTTACAATCTAACCTTTTAATGCCTCTATATTACATAAAAGGCAGATGTTTTGATAGGTAGATTTTCCAAAATTAATACCAGTCAATAATGATTGAACTCTGATTCAAATCTAAAGCTAATAACTTGTTAATACTCTTCTTTACCCAGCGGTTTACGGTATCTATTGGACTTGTGCTATCTGAAATGATGTTATGTTTACTCGATGATATTGAGAGTGAATGTATGATTACAATACTTCCACTTTGGGCAATAGCTTTCAAGGTATCATCATTCAAATCTCCTTTGACATCATCAATCCACGTAATATTATAACGTTCCAAAACATTCAATATAACTTTTGGCCAAAAACTATTAATGCTAATTTTAATTTCTATGCGCTGATGTAGATGGTCAAGTACTGGTTTTAAGCGTACATAATCTGTTTCTAGAGTTTTATAGAAGAATCAACTTTGTTGATTGAGCACCAAGTTCAATGGTGCTAGCACCATCATATAATGGTTGTATTGCATGCATAATAACTTTATCTTTATCGTAATAAAGGTCGCCATCTAAGAATGAATCACGGGTAATATTTACAATACCCACAAACTCTGGCGACGATACAAAACTTTTTACAAAACAAACTTCAATATCATGTGCAATGGCACCAAAATTTACCATTTATTGGAGATATGCTCATAGGTTTGGCATGCTATTAGATGCATGCTATTAGATGGAGTAAAGCGGCCTATTCATCAATCCTGGGTGGGGTAGTAAGACATGGCGTGTTTATACTAAGACCCATAATCCAAATCAATAATGCGTGGTAACCACTTTTTTTTATATACCTGTGGATGTCCTATTTCATATTCGATTTATTTTAGACCTATTAATAATTCCTAAGGACAAAGTGAGAAACTTCCATAAACAACTATATTTAAAAATGGTTTGCTCCATTCACCAGGAGTTGCATCAGCTAAAATAGCTTATTAGAATAATTGAAGACTTTAAATTTTAAAGATAACGCTCTTTTAGTAATTTAACAGCCTTTTTTAAATAAGAAGGGCGATTTCCAATATTTGAGCCAATCGAAATGTAAATCATTAATTATCTTCTTGTGATTGATTCGGTAACTAAAAAAAAGATACCACCATGAACATTGCGAGCATGCGGTGCAACGTTATGCGCAGTTACCTTGATAGGAGAGATAGGATGTTTTGCGTCCTATAAGATTATTAATAGCCAAATATATATCATGAGTTAAATGCTCAATGAGGTGTATTGTTTATACTGTGCAAGATGTTGAATATGCTGCGCTGATTCAAGATAGCAAACAGTATCCTCAAGTTGATCAGAGGTAAGTCCTAAAGGATGAGATTTAAAAGTAAAGTTAGCATTACTGATTAATTGGGGATAAAATCTTTCTCATACACGGCGCCCTAAATGAGCCTAGACTCGCAAATCCGAAATAAGAAGGTTGCACAAGGGCTTCTTTTTAGAGCTACACTCCACTTCAATACCACATCAATATAGTTTGAAACAGATCTACAACTTTATCATAGCTTTTTTATATGAAAATATGAGCCTATAATATCAATTATTATCTAATAAGGAAGTAAAAAAAACACTCTTGCAACTTAAAACTTGCAGTTTTATATTAAGTGGTCATCCTAGCATGCTATGCTATAGATAGAATTAAGAAAATTTCAAGAAGCTTTGCTCTTATTCATTTAAATTCTCAATGAGATTTCCATACACTTCAGTGTGCCATTTATCAGCTTCTATATGAACTTCAAAAAATTGAAGGGGGCGTTTATCACTTATTCCATAGTGCTTTTTAAACCCCCAATCTTAGACTTGGAAACTTCTAGAGTTTCGCGTTCGTAAGAATAGAGTGCTCCTAGATCTGATGTAAAATCAGATTGAATAGTATTGAAACAGCAACTAACTAATTCTTGTGTTTCTTTTAGCTTTGAAACTTGATTAAGGTCTGATCTCGCAACGCCAAGTCCTTCAGTAAAACATTTTCCATGATTCTAGATGATTTTCTTCCCCTTGTTCTTCTTCAATTAAATTACCAAGTAAAACTTGCCGCGTTTCTAGGTTTTAGCATAAAGAATGAATACTACTGATGTAGAGAGGAGGCTCAGAAGCATGGTGGTAATATTCTTTAGAATAGTTTATATATTTTATAAGCTTAAATTTCCTTCAGTCCATGACTGGTAGAATGGATTACTTGACAAATGCAATGTATATAACTTATTATTCAAGCTATATTTATGTTTTTTCCATTATATCAAAAGACAAAAAACTTTTTCTATGCTTGAATGACACCCGATGCGAATTGCTCATTAAAATCCCAACCAGCTATGCACTTAAACGGTGTCCTTGAGTTTTTTCAAACAAAATAATACCAATTGCAATGCTAAATAAGCAACGGTGAGTGATATCTCGTTAATCAATCTTATGGAAGTTGATGTAGAAAGATGCATTTTAGTAAAGGAAATTGCAATAATCTACATTATTATAAAATGCATTATTGAATGCAATATTACATAAGTAATAATCACAGGCCAAACTGAATCATCTGTTTTAAACAGCCAAGTGTACATTATAGACTCTACACAGCTTAAAAGAGCAAAATGTAAGCAAATAAGAGCTTTAATTTATCCTCTTGGGTTAGTGAACACATAATTTTCCATAGTGGCATGTTCCATATTACCATGATAAAACTTACAGCAACTGCTCTCACATAAATTTGGTATCCGCTCCTTGAGATTTTTTGAGTAGATAGCCGCGCCAACCAATCTCTTTGCTAAGAAAAACGATGATTAGTATTGTGAAATTTACCACGGAAAAGATGGTGTATTCATACTGAAGTCTGGTATCTCCTCTGATGTAAGTGCAGGTTCTGTTAGTTGTGTAAATTTTATAATTAACAACGAACAGCGGGATATATAGCGGTAGCTATCAGAGCAATCATAAGCCATAGTAAGTAGTTTTTAGTTAGTTAAGTTGAAAGATCTTTGACACTTTGCTTATTATAAACTGTTAGTAATATTACAATTGTAGCTGAATTAATATTGCGAGTAATATTGTGCATAATGGAGATAGCTCCAAGCGATAATGCATGTTAATACATGGGTAATTGTAACAAATAATATGCAATATTAATCACTGGGTTCACGTAACATCAATCATTGATTTCTATGAAGCATAATATTATTCATTTTTTTTAAAAAAATCGTAAATTTAGCCTATGACTATGTGCTTTTTTACCCCAACTAAAATCTTATCAGACTGATTTTCATCTGAATTCAGATCAAGTGCAAAGTGTGTGACATATTTTCCATGAGGATCTATGAGATATATTATTGAGGAATGGTTAATTTCTTCTTCTCCACCTAATTTATTGACATAAACTCTATATTTTGAAACTACTTCATTTATTTTCTCTTTTTCGCCGGTTAACATCTGTATTCTATGATCAAATTGTTGCTGAAACTCTTTCAATCTTGTAACGTTGTCACGGTCAGGGTCAACTGTAATAAAAAATGTTTGTAGCTTATCATTAGTTTTTTCGTCTAGCATTGTT